GTAACTACAGTAGAATATCACATCCGTTACTTTAAATAAAGTGTTTTTATTTACAATTTTAGGTATTTACAACGAACGAAACAATTCATGAAATCTTTAAATTAAAAAGCACTCTTTTTATTGCTTAATTATTATAGTGTTGACCATTTTATTTCAGAAACAAATTGACTTTTTGTTATTGGATGAAGTTAGTTCTTTAGCTTCACTTTGAAAATCTACTATTTGAATTGATTGTTGTTTCTTGTGTTTTATTTATTTTCCTATATACTACTATGATCAGCAGTTGGTCTAAATTGAGTTTTAAAACTGTTTACATTTTCAAATATAATAAAATGTATTAATGTATTAATTTTCCGTTGATTTTACAACACTCAAATTAAAAGAATACTTTTTTATAGTTTAGCTACATTGAATTAACCATTTATTTTAAGTAACAAGTAAGCTTTCTGTTAGTTGCTTTTGTTTCACATTGCAAATCTGCAATTTGTAATTTTTGTTACTTTTGTTTTTTAATCTTTCTATCTACTAATTNAAGTAAGCTTTCTGTTAGTTGCTTTGGTTTCACATTGCAATTTGTAATTTTTGTTACTTCTTTTGTATTTTAATCTTTCTATCTACTAATTTGCTGACCCTTGGCCTAAATTAAATTTTAATATAGCTTACATTGTGAAATATATTAAAATGCAATAGGTATTTCATGATTTAATTTTAAGGTTACTTATTTTTGAGCTCAGCTTAACCATTTATTATACTAGTAAATATTTTATGTATTTCTATATTGATTTTCTTAAAAGATATAAAATGTAATAATTTTCATTTTTAAATTTTTCTAAAATGTAGGTGTAATATCAGTATATTATATTTAAAATTTCGTTTAGTATTCATACTTAACATTATATGATTATAAAAATTCTATGCTATTAGTAGTTGTGAACTAAATTTGTGATTTGGAGTTGTGTACCTGTTATATTTAGTTGTATTAATTAAAATTCATTATATTNTTAATAATTCTTTACATCATAATTTTTTTTCAAAAAAAGGTTTTATATTACTTGTTTATGTAAAATATTGAAGGATTACAGCTGTTTTAAACCCTTAAATTTGTTAAATTTATTTTTCTTGCTTATTGTTTTTTAGTTATCACATGTTTGAAAAAGATTTATTATAGCTTGAAAATCTTTATTACAATATATATTATCAATTAGATTGTAATTATAAGATGCTTTAAAAAAGTTGTTTTACTGTTTGATATTTCTCTAGGAAAAAGTGTTACTCGGGCGAAAAAAAACATATATATTCTTGGGCAATGGGAAGATTTCCCTATCATGATCTGTAGCTGAATAATCTCCAAATATTTGCAACTTCCGGGCAGTGGTTTACAATGTACTGGACACATTACAGACGAGGACCAACTTGAAGGATATGTATCTCATAACCTCCAATCAAGCTTGTATATCTTTCTTTTTTTTTTTAAATTGAGATTTTAAAAATAGGTTACATTGTGATAATTAAATGCAAAAGGTACTTCATGATTTAATTTTAAGGATATTTATTTTTGTGCTCAATTTAACAGTAAATATTTTTAATTATTAAATGCATTATATTATGCATTAAATATTAGTAAATATTTAATGCATTTATATATTGATTTCCTTAGAAGATGAAATGTAGTAATTTTTATTTTTAAATTTTTCTAAGTTGTGAATTCAATTTGTGATTTGTAGTTGTGTACCTGAAGAATTTAGTTGTATTTATGAAATTTATTATATTTTAATAATTCCTTACATAGTAATTTTTTTTTAAGAAAAAGGATGTATATTACTTGTATACATAAAATATTGCAACTGTTTTAAACCTTTAAATTTGTTAAATTTATTTTTCTTGCATATTGTTTTCTAGTTATCACATATTTGAAAAAGTTTAATTATACCTTGAAAATCGATATTTTATTATCAACCAGATTGTAATTAATAGATTTTTACAAAAAATTGTTTTAGTGTTTGATATTTCTCTATGACAAAGTTTTACTTGGGGGAAAGAAACATATATATTCTTGAGCAATGGGAAGATTTCCCTATCATAATCTGAAGCAGAATAATCTCCAAATATTTGCAACTTCTGGGCAGTGACTTACAAGGCACTGAAAAAGTCAAAGGCGAGGACCAACTTGAAGGTTATATATCTCATAACCGCCTAAAATCAAGCCTGTATATCTTTTTAAAAAAACAAAAAACAATTGAGAATTTTAAATCCATTAATTGCTTTCAATCAATCAGTTAAAGTGCTTTATCAAGTTGATAACAATATTTAGTACAGTTATTAAAATATATTTCCTAATACACCAGGGATTTCACTAGATTTGATGAATTTGCAGATCTTTAGGAGCTTATAATTCTAAATTTCTGGGTCCTTTTTTTTGTTGTAAAAGCAGGTCTCTATTTGAAATTATTTAAGTATCTCTACTTTAAGGATCTGCATAAAATGTAAAAATTTGAAAAACTATGTGATTTGCAACCAATTCCGTAATAGGTCAACTAAGAATTTTAACAAGAAGCTATTTGCTAAGCATAAGATAAAACTAAATCTGTCTATTGCTTGTATGCAAAATAATTTAGAAATGAGTGTATAATATTTGGTAGCTTCAGCATAACTTAATATGAAAATATTGTATTCACACAACTTTAATCAAATAGATTATTTTCAATAAATTTTAGTTATTATATAGGTAATTCAAATGAAATATACTACTAATAAACTGCAATAGATTTGAAGTGAAAATTAAAAATTTGACTGTAGCAACTGTTACATCTGTTAAACTCTGACTTATTTTATTAGATCTGTGAGGAGGAAAAAAAATTTACTTCTATTTTTTTTATTTCATAAGTTTATTTATTATACTTTGTATATTTCAGTGACTGCACTTTGTGCTGGAAAAAAAAATCATATTTTTTTTCAATTTCTATGTATTTTTCTAGTAGTAAATTAGATAAATTGCAGTTTTGCAAATTCTTAGTCATAATTATTCAATATTTATTATTGATAATCAATCATCCTCTTCACCAAAACTTATGATTTTCGACAGTGATTGTCAAAATTAAAAGGGGGGTTAATGTCAGAACAATTGAACATCGTAGTTGATCACTTGTTATTTTCTATGTTTATTTATTTATAATTACTTCACATTCATATTAGCTAATAATTATTTTCTTACCTAAAATTTTAGGTTTCTGATATGAGTGTTAAAACTGTGGTTAAATCTGGATAAGACAGTCAATTGTCTAATGCGTGCCAACTTTGACTTTAGCGTTTTCTCCACTGTGAATAAACCTTGTCCTCTTTGCTTCAATTTTGATTTTTTTCCCCAGGCATGAAAATTTACTTCATTTCAATGAAGTTGTCATGTCTTTACTCGAAAACATTGTTATATATGTTTTCTATGGATGTTTAGTTGAAATTTTATAACATTTTTCTATTCTCTTTCAGAGCATATTCTCAGTTAAATAATTTGAAATGTGCACTGGATGATGAACAGAGGTTCTGTATCTATTTATCCTTGTGGTATTGGTGGACAAGAGGGTACGAAAACAAGGTATTTTTCAGTTAGAAATTTAAAGAAGAAATGAACTTCGCAAGAAATTTAACTATTTAATTTAATTTTTATGTGTTAAAAAAAAGTTGGAGGTCTACATTTTTAATCAAAAATATTCGTTTATGCAGGTGTAATTATTTTTTATTTTTTTGCTGTTTACTTATATTTTGTGGCTTTTTTTTTTAAACATATTATTTACTTTGTAAGAGGAAGATATAATAATTTATATTTATTAAACATTTCTATGTTTAAAATTTTTGTTTTCCTTTTAAATTGTAGTTTTTGACTAAGTATGGTAAAATAATAAGCATTTCATTCAAATTATTTGTTGATGAAAGTATTTTATTTGAAGTCTGTTTATTTTTATAGATTACTTTTTAGTTTTCACATACAATTTATTTAATGTTTCTTCTGCTAAATGCTTCAGCTAAAATATTTTTAAATCCATACAAATATTAATGATCAATTTAATAATTTATGATCGCCATTTTAAAGTTTTTATAATATTTTTCTCAATGTTTTCTGTCCATTAAGTAAATAATTTTATTGTGTATTAAGTGCAAAATTTGCATGAAATACGAAATATTTTCAAGTCAAAATTTACCATCTTTTTTTTTTTTAAACTCTTAATTATTAATTAAAACTGTGGTTAAATCTGGATAAAACCGTCAATTGTCTAATGCGTGCCAACTTTGACTTTAGCGTTTTCTTCACTGTGAATAAGCCTTGTCCTCTTTGCTTCAATTTTGATTTTTTTCCCCAGGCATGAAAATTTACTTCATTTCAATGAAGTAAGTTGTCATGTCTTTACTCAAAAACATTGTTATATACTTTTCTATGGATGTTTAGTTGAAATTTTATAACATTTTTCTATTCTCTTTCAGAGCATATTCTCAGTTAAATAGTTTGAAATCTGCACTGGATGATGAACAGAGGTTCTGGATCTATTTTTCCTTGTGGTATTGGTGGACAAGAGGGTACGAAAACAAGGTATTTTTCAGTTAGCTAGGCACAAGAAATTTAATTATTTTATTTAATTTTTATGTGTTAAAAGAAAGTTGGAGGTCTACATTTTTCAACAAAAATATTTGTTTATGCAGGTGTAATTATTTTTTATTTTTTTGCTGTTTACTTATATTTTGTGTTTTTTTTTTTAAACATAATATTTACTTTGTAAGAGGAAGATATAATAATTTATATTTATTAAACATTTCTATGTTTAAAATTTTTGTTTTTGTTTTAAATTGTAGTTTTTGACTAAGTATGGTAAAATAATAAGCATTTCATTCAAATTTCATTCAAATTATTTGTTGATGAAAGTATTTTATTTAAAGTCTGTTTATTTTTATGGATTAGTTTTTAGTTTTCACATACAATTTATTTAATGTTTCTTTTACTTTTGTTACAGTGCTTCAGCTAAAAAAATTTTAAATCTTTACAAAAATTAATGATCAATTTAATAATTTATGCTCGCCATTTTAAAGTTTTTATAATATTTTTCTCAATGTTTTATGTCTATTAAGTAAATAATTCTATTGTGTATTAAGTGCAAAATTTGCATGAAATACGAAATATTTTCAAGTCAAAATCTACCATCCTTTTTTTTATTTAAACTCTTAATTATTAAAGATTGTTACTAATTGAAGATTATTATGGTCTTTGGTGTAATATATTCATAACATTTCAGTTTTATAGCTGATTTCTTTTATAGCCCGGCAAGAGATTCATCTGACTTGTCCCTGGACAAAATTTCAAACTTTTTAAACTTTAGAAAAAAGTTCCTGAATAAAAAAAAAAATCTTTAGTGTCTATTTTTCTTAATATTTCTGCATTATTTTGTTTTACTTTACTATGTTATCTATTTAATCATGATAATCTTTGGTTTGTTAGACTGTTAATGTGCACAAATTATAACTTTAAATAAGTATGTAAATTATGAAAATGAGTTTTACATAATTTTTTAAAATTATTTTTTCAAGAGTTGATTTGTGTATTTTAGCTTTTTTATTCTTTTCTCACTCTTATAACAAGCCTAGTTAGTGACTATAATAAGCTATGTGATTGGAGGAAATAGTCATCCCTGGGTCGGGGAAGCCTGCTTCAGATGCTTCAGACTTTTCTGTTATCTATATTTTCTTACCTAAAATTTTAGGTTTCTAATATGAGTGTTAAAACTGTGGTTAAATCTGGATAAAACAGTCAATTGTCTAATGCATGCCAACTTTGACTTTAGCGTTTTCTCCACTGTGAATAAACCTTGTCCTCTTTACTTCAATTTTGATTTTTTCCCCAGGCATGAAAATTTGCTTCATTTCAATAAAGTAAGTTGTTATGTCTTTACTCGAAAACATTGTTATATACTTTTCTATGGATGTTTAGTTGAAATTTTATAACATTTTTCTATTCTCTTTCAGAGCATATTCTCAGTTAAATAGTTTGAAATGACTTTTTTTAAAGTGCACTGAATGATGAACAGAGGTTCTGTATCTATTTATCCTTGTGGTATTGGTGGACAAGAGGGTATGAAAACAAGGTATTTTTTAGTTAGCTGGGCGCAAGAAATTTAATTATTTAATTTAATTTTTATGTGTTAAAAAAAAGTTGGAGGTCTACATTTTTCATCAAAAATATTTGTTTATGCAGGTGTAATTATTTCTGTTTTTTTGCTGTTTACTTATATTTTGTGGCTTTTTTTTTAAACATAATATTTACTTTGTAAGAGGAAGATATAATAATTTGTATTTAAACATTTCTATGCTTAAAAGTTTTGTTTTTCTTTTAAATTGTAGTTTTTGACTAAGTATGGTAAAATAATAAGCATTTCATTCAAATTATTTGTTGATGAAAGTATTTTATTTAAAGTCTGTTTATTTTTATAGATTAGTTTTTAGTTTTCACATACAATTTATATAATGTTTCCTTTGCTTTTGTTACATTGCTTTAGCTAAAAAAATTTTAAATCTTTACAAAAATTAATGATCAATTTAATAATTTATGCTCGACATTTTAAAGTTTTTATAATATTTTTCTCAATGTTTTCTGTCCATTAAGTAAATAATTCTATTGTGTATTAAATTCAAAATTTGTATGAAATGCGAAATATTTTCAAGTCAAAATCTACCATCCTTTTTTTTTTAAACTCTTAATTATTAAAGATTGTTACTAATTGAAGATTATTATGGTCTTTGGTGTAATATATTCATAACATTTCAGTTTTATAGTCAGGCAAGAGATTGATCTGACTTGTCCCTGGACAAAATTTCAAACTTTTTAAACTTTAGAAAAAAGTTCCTGAATCAAAAAAAAGTCTTTAGTGTCTATTTTTCTTAATATTTCTGCATTATTTTGTTTTACTTTACTATGTTATCCTATNTAAACCCCGCTTAGAATGAACCCTGGTTAATGTGCACAAATTATAACTTTAAATAAGTATATAAATTATGAAAATGAGTTTTACATACTTTTTTTAAATTATTTTTTCACGAGTTGATATGTGTATTTTAGCTTTTATATACTTTTCTCACTCTTATAACAAGTCTAGTTAGTGACTATAACAAGCTATCTGATTGGAGGAAATAGTCATCCCGGGGTCGGGGAAGCCTGTTTCAGATGCTTCAGACTTTTCTGTTATCTCGTAGAACTTAGTCAGGCATAAATTATTATATTATAAGTTTTTAAAGTCACACCAAACAATAAAAATTTAGTAGACCAATGGGAGTACTATTCTTTTAGTGTACTGAGATCTTAATATAGTAGATAAACTTGAAGGGGAAAAATAAAACTTTGTTTGCCTGTTTGTCATAGAATAAATAACAGAAATCGGGACACATATAATAATGAAACTTCGCTAGAATTTATTTGCATTTATAAATATTATTAAAAAAATTGCATTTAAAGCTCTGTTTTTAGATAAATGCAGTTTTCATTGACTTCTATCAACATAAAAAATTAAAACCATACACATCAATATCACTACACTGCAATGCGTCTTATACATAAAAAGGAACTTAACTTTTTTTTTTGTTGACAAATGCATTGTCCAAAATAGTAAATATCATGTAAAGTAATTTTTATCAGAAACATTAAGAATAATTATTATAAACATTAAGTATGCTTTTACCATTGTCATAATATAAGATAATGATTTAGGAGTACTGTTTATTAAAATCTGAATCTAAAAATTCCTAAATAAAGTAAATTCTCAAAGCCTAAAAGATATTTCTTTTAGCTGATAGACAAATCTCGCTGTCAGTCCACAGAAAGCATGTAAATTTGAAATTTAAACATTTAAATTTGAAATGCTTCATCTCATGGAAAAGGGGGGTGGGTGGACAAACCTTCCAAGTGTAGCCACTTTCCAGAAAAATTTAAAAGCTGGTAGCAATTGTTATCCAAAAATATTTGTAAATTTATGTTACAGCTGACAAATTGTATTCCTGAAATATCCCTAAAATTAAAGCCTTTGAAACTTACAATAACCTCATTAAGTAATTGGCGCCTCTTTTAAAAATTTTCTAGATTGTGGCCACCCTGCAACACGCGGAAGAACTTATTTATTTATAAAATATTTGCTACCGAAACCTTCAGCTTAGAATAATAAAATTAGAATTTTTTTTTAACTCATGGAATTCAATATAAAATTTTTTTTTCATTATTATTTTGCTAATTCCTAACATTTCGACAAATTTGGCACCCATGCATATCATTTGGGTGACATTTGTAGAACATTTTACATAGATTGTTGCCATATTGGCATAAACCTTATAAATTTTAATCAAGCTCGTTGCAGTATTTAGTTCTTATGATACCGATCTATTTAATCAATCCAAAAAGTTAGAAATTTAAAACTGTTGATAGTTTCCCACAACATATATTTATTTTATTATATATTTTATTAATAATATATTTTATTTTTAGGATTAAATGGGCCTTAATAGACTTCATCCTAATGGCTGTGATTATGTTGGGGCTTCATAGCTATTGTTTTGCATAGCTGCAAATGCACTGAGAGTCCCGCAGTGAACTGACTGATCATCAATATCCCAATAGAACACTGAAGTCAAGCATCACTGGCTGCAGTCAGTGTGCGGGTGAGTAACCTCTTTGATCAGCATGCAAAGGGACCGAGAGTGTGCTGTATCGGTCCTCGTTAAACTGTTTTAAGCTACGTGGTTGACTTTGTATGTCATCAGGCTACCGAAACAGAGGTCATCCCCTCTCCAGAGGATGAAAAATGGTGATGGCATGTCTTCGGATCATCCTCTGAGATGTTTCCCAGATTGTCACTAATAGCCCATAGTTCAGATCTAGTGGGACGTAAACCAACAACAACTGATACTCAGATGTTCTGTATTTTAAAAAATTTAATTTAGAACTACCCATGTATAATCATTTGTGTAGATCGGCTCTTCTTTGTCGCTTTGTTTTAAGCCTGGTTTTCTTATAATTTTTTTTTTTTAATAAGCATCTTTTTAAGTAAATTTTCTGCTATTTATGTGAATGTTTTTAGTTTGAATATTGAAAAATGAAATAGAAATTCTCACATTTGTTTCAATTTTGAGTTTAATTGATAATTGGAATTCACTTACTTGAAATAGACATAAATCTGCAATTTTTAATTGTTTATGTAAAATTAATTTTGTCCCCTCCAAAAAAAAGCCTATGTAAAAGAAATTAATGCAATCAATTTTTAGATAAAATCATAACTCTTAAAATGTTTAAAATAAAATAGATTGTTAGTTATTCCCTGCTATGTTAGTTTTTTTGTATTAGTTAAATTGTGTGAATTAAAGACTGAAAGAATTAAAGTTTTTCAAACTTTATTTTTACAAGCTTGTAAAAGATACATTTTTGCTGCAGTTAAGCGTATAAACAGGAATGAATTACTTTTCTAAATTTTATTTTAACAGTTTAATTTCAGAATTATTTTTTATTATTTAGGTGAACAAATTTGTATTGTATTTATGCAGTCTGCTTATATTTATTATTATAATATTTAAAATTGCTATTTTTATACTTTATTTAAAAAAAAAGTTTAAGAAATTGTTTTTAAATATTTTTAAAATATTTTTTTTTTGTTTATGCTGAAATATAACAATAAGAACTTTGTTACATTTAAAACTAATGACCAAAAAGAAAAATTTTTTTTTGTGTGTGCGTGTGTTTTAGAACCATTAAGGCTGAAATATACTTTTACAATTTTAAATGTTTGTAATTATGTAGCCCATTTATCAATTTTATTCTTTTCATCATTTTAATTATATTATTTAGTTGAAATATTACATTGTCTTGGTTCTCCCATGATGCTGCATTTTAAAATTGCATTGATTTCACATTTCCTCGATCACATTGATTCGAAGCAGCCAGGTTGTATAATTTTTATTTGACCTATATCAGTTCATAAAAGCATGTCTAAGCAATAACAAAAACTATCTAAAGACGACTGTTATAACTATAAACTTATGCTCACAGTAATTTGGTTTATATGTTTTATTAGTATTCATTATACGTACAAAACTTTTTGTTGCTTAATGATTTAAAAAATATGCTGTGACAAATTTCTTTTAAAAAAATAAATAACCAAGATGATAGACATAATTAAATAAAAATCTTAAAATTAATAAATATTTATATTTTTCTTTACAACAAAAGATGTATAGTCATTCATAGATTCAGTTAGATTTTGAGAACTATGGGTCTCTAAGACTTAGAAAGTCTGCTGTTAAAGAAAATTGTTACATATGTTGGAGAAATCAAGGCTGATTAAGATTGGTCAAACACCTGCATCTAGGAAAAAACTGTGTAATATGATGCTGAAAATTATTCTAATTTTCTCGTTAAGCTATTTAATTAAATAGCTTAATTAATTAAATATTTAAAGTTTTGTCTACCATCTCAGATAAAAATATTTTACTCGATTTGTTAATAACCATTTCTCTTTAAAAACTAATTCCAATTTCTCAATATTACTTTTGTTGAAGAAAAAAAATAGTTACCTCAGAAGTCCTTGAAAATCATTAAATAGGGAGTAAAGGTTGCTGAAATTTTTCGCGACTGGTAGACAGGGTTGAAAAAGCTATTTTTTTCTTCATAAAAACCCAAAAACCAGGTGTTTTTTAAATTTTTTTATTTTAAAAGAAAGGTTAAAAAGTATTTTATATCTAAATGTTATCTTAGTAACGTGTGAATATGTATATATATTGTGACGAATTTTAATATAAAAGAGAATGAGATATTCAAGAAAATGTATTTTTTTAATTAAGAAATATTTAATAACAGATTGATGAAAAGAAATAAAATTGATACATGTGTTACATAAATATATACACACATATTATAGTAAAGGTGGATTTTAGTTTTGACCGTTAGAAAAACAAAGAACTATTTACTTTTGTGTCATTTATTTTAACATAATTGAGCTTTAAATATAACAATGTTCTTATTGACATATTGCAAAATTATGAAACATTTACTTAAAAAATATTTTAAATGAATTTTAAAATAATGAATGTAAGCATAAAATTCAAATTTGTATACAATTCAAATTTTTTTTATCTAAGTAGCAGAAAACAAATATGAAATTGAGCTGAAAAAATAAAATTTAGAAAAGCACCTTATTCTTGTTTATACTTTTGTTAGAACAAGAATTACTTTTGAATTAGTTATGGTCTAATTTATTTTAAAAATTTTTACAAAACCTCGTGTTTTTATTTTAAATTTGCTTACAATACTTTATTTCACATTGGTATTTTTGTGAAAACTCAAACTCTATCTAAACATTTGAAAATTGCAGTTTTGTGTTTATTTAAAATAACGGAATTTAACTCTAAATTTCCAAAAAGGTGAGAA